ATTTTACCTTTGCTTACTGCAAAGTAAAAAGATTTCTAGAGTCAGGGACTCCCTCTTCCTTTGATTTTGCCTTTATAGTGCCCAATATTTGCCTGTGGTTTTTCTATCTTAGGAATGTGTTAAATGGAATTAATGCTAAGAATTATGTCCAAAAGTTCACATCTGTTTTTGCAATTTGAATTTATTTTCTCAGAGTGCTGTTAAGTTTAGGTTTTCAAAATGCTCACAAAAATGTACTTACATAAGAACATGCATTTATAAAGGATCAACAATACATCCTAAATACTATACATAACAGTGATTCTCTGGATGAATGCGTTCAAACTTCTAACCCAGATGGCAATAGCTTATAGCCCTCTTAATGAGGCACTCTTCCTACAAAACCTAATATCTGAACAGGAGAGGTTAGATTACAGTAGTTTAGCAATTTCTTAATTCCCACTAGCTGCAAGAGACAAACCTCTCTCTATGTCTGTGATTTCTTTGGGGTCCTGATTGAAGAACAAAAGCACAAAGGACATTTGGACCTGTAGTGCCTTTTCCACAGCACTGAACTCTGCAGTGTGGACAACTTCTAAATAATTCACTTTACAATTAAGCAACATGACTAATGAAACAGGAAAAACAGATTATTGAAACAGAACAAAGAGTTCAGAAGTGAAACCACCTATTAAGCAAAATTTTGTAACAAACCAAAAGTAAATTAGCAAAATGTGATTAAGTCCTTAGGGTAGGAATACCTTCTTTAAAAGGACACTAAAAGCAAAAACAATAACAGACAAGGATGATCATTTTGATTATATCATTGAAAAATTCTTGTACATGAAAAGACATTTTGGATAGTTCTAAAAAAAAGGCAAGGCTGTGAAAAAATATATACAACCTAATAGCAGACAAAGCATTAATGTTCAGAAAATAAAATAAATTCCTATGAATCAATAAGAAAATGACAAGTAATCTAATAGGTCCATGGACAAATTATTTAAAATGCAAGTTTCTAAAGGAGATATAAAAAAGACTATTGTACCAATGAAACGATGCACAATCCCAGAATTCTGAGAACTGCAAGTAAACAACAACTAGAATATCCAGCAACACACAGGAAACAACACTACTGACACTACTAGTGGGGCTATAAATCAGTAGTTATTTTGGGGGACAACTAGGCAGTGTGTAGTAAAAATATATAAATATATACTCCCCTATCCAACAATTCTCCTAGAAAAATGCTTGCAGGAAATACTCAAAGAGGATTGTACAAGAATACTTTTCAGAATATTATTTATGATGGTAGAAAATTGAAAACAATCTAAACTTAATTGCAGTTTGACAAACATGCAGAGTATGGTGTTTCTTATGTACATTTGTACTGCTTCCACATTCATGGATTCAACAAACTGTAAATCGAAAATATTAAAACAAAAAATAACAATACATCTATCAAATAATATAGATTAAAAAATACAGTATGACAACTATTTACATAGAATCACATTAGAAATTAGATATTATGAGTAATCTGGAGATGATTTAAAGCATTTGGCTATACCATGTAATAGGTTATATACAACTGCTACACTATTTCATATAATGGACTTGCGCATCCATGAAATTTGGTATCTATGGGGTCGGGATTAGAGGGGAGCCCACCAATACCAAGGCATAACTGTTATACTCCACAGTTTCTATTCTATGCATATATCTAAAAATTAGGAAGAAGACACATCAAATAGCATTTTGGACAAAGACGGCAGGTTTTCTAGTATTTCTTGTAATATTTAAGGTTTTATAAAGCAAATGTGTTCACGTATTACTAATTTAAGTAAAAACTAATCATATAAAAGAACTTTTCTAAGTCACTGAACTCCTGTCAGGACACTCTCTAAAGTGATACCTCATGTTTCATTTTGCTTGAACAGTTATAGAATGGTTTCCAAAAATAATCTTTGTTTTCTCCCTTCATCTCTCTTCATCTTCTTTAATTTCAGCTTTCTCATGTATTTGTTAAGGAAGTTGTATTTCTATTAATTGCTTCTTTATCTTTAACCATTATTATGATAAGCTCGGGAAGCTTTCCTTTAGTTACTCCTGGAAAATAATTTTATTAAGCTGTGTAGGAGTATGCCTTGCCCTTTCCTCTTGCCTTTAGGGAACCGGATGCTTCACTAGCACTGCTTTATCTTTTCCATCATTGCATTTGGCTTTGCTATGTTTGCTTCCGGGTATTTAGCAGATGTAGGGTGTGTGTGTGTGTATGTGTGTGTGTGTGTGTGCGTGTGCACACGTGCGTATGTTTTAATTGTTCCTGCTTTCATGCAATGGAGACTACCTGTGCTTGCAGCTCATTGATTGAGAGATGGGGAGAAGAGGAGACTGGTTGTTCAAAATGTTTGGAAGCCTGGGCCAGCCCTATAGCCTAGTGATGAAGGGAGCCAGACCCCTTATGGAGGACTGTGGTGTGAATCCCTGCCCCAGTGGCTTGCAAAACATGTTGGGAACATGTACATGTACATGTGTGCCTGAAATCCAAGCGGGATGTAAAAGTAGAGGAGAAGGTACTGCAGCATGACTTTGTACCAGGGGGGAGATGTTTTCTCTCTCTCTGCCTCTCTCTTTCTGGTGAGTGAATGTACCTTCTGGCAATTAAAAAACCAAAAAACAAAAACTGAGAAGCCAAATAGAGGAATGCCACCAAAGAAAGACTAAGCTGTGTTCTTTCCATTGTCCTTACTTCCTAATGGCAGAGACCTAGGAGCCCTTGCAAATTTATCCTGCTTGGCTCACACAATGACCTCCCCCACCAAAAAAATACATACACACACACTCACATACTATTTATATATATATATATATATATATTACATATATATACATATATAATACACATATATACATAAACATATATATATAAATATAGAATACATCGAGAAATAGTTACACATGTATAAATATATATTATGTATTTAGAATATAAATGTAATTAAAGTGCATACGGTACAAAAAGCATAGGGAAGCATTAGCAGTTTTCAGATGGATTTCAGACCTGCTATGGCAGGGAGAGGGAGGTCACTGAAGAGGAAGCTGTGACACTGAGTAGGAAGTGTTCCTTTTGAGGCTACTGCTCTGTGGGACCTGCTCTCTGAGTTTGAAACTCTATGGGTCCAAATGCGATGTACTAGCAGGAGGAGTCTTTTCTCAGAGGTCACTTTGCATGAGGAGAAACCACGGACTGTTCCGACTTTAACCACATGCTAGCTTCCAGGTATTAAAATGACCGCTCTTAGAAAGATCTGTGTCTACTTTCAGGGACCAGCAGTTGGCATAATGGCTATGTCGCTGGACTCCCATGTAGTTGACTGCAGTTTGTGTCTTGGACCCGGTGGTTTAAATTCGCGCTGGGCGCTTGTATGTGCATGCCCAAGATCCCGAGAAGGGATTGTGGCATGGCCATCTCCCTGGAGGAGTGATTTCTTGCTTTCTATCTCTCTGTCCCTCTCTGTCTTTCTGGCGAGTGCACACACCCTACAGCAAAAACCTCTCCAAAAAAAAAGAAAAAAAGAAAAAGAAAAGAAAGATCTGTATCTACTTTCATCTGTGTCTACTTTCATTGTCTTTACCAGCCAGGGGCCTCCTGGGTGGAGGAAATAGGGAACTAGGACTTTGTTGGGGGATGTTAATTCAGTTGATGGGTGGATAGAGTTGGTCTATCAGAGGAATTTAGCTTTAGGGTATGAAAGACTGCATGTGCCATCTTTTTATAATAAATAAGGCCCAACTTGGGGAGTGAAGGCAGGGATTGGAGGTGGAGAGAGTGGTTGGCAGTGTGCCTAAAGTCTAGAAGTTCTCAATCTGCTACATAAACTGTAGTCCCTTGAGTTCCCTGTTTTCACACCATGGGCAGAGAGAGATCAGAATATACTATCTAAGTTCTGGTTCTCAGTTTTAAAGCAGAAGCTTAAAACACTGCAGTTCTCTTTCCTCTGGGGTTTGGCTTTAAAAACCACTAAAGATATGGGGGACTAAAGCAGCATGTGACCACAAAGTTGTAAGGCATCCAACCTCAGACCCAGGCTGAGAAGCAGGGGCTTTCTGGTGTGGTCATTAATGTCAGCCCGGAGGAGGCCTTTATTCAGAAGGCTCTTCACAGATGAGGGGTCCAGCTCAAGTAAAAGATACTAGGGGGCTTGTCCCAACTCATCGTCAATGGCCAGCTGGATTCCATGAAAATAGTTTCCTATGGCATGTTTGAGTAAAAGTGTTTTTAGTGTTATCAGACTTAAGATTGTCAGATATTCTTACTAACGTGCAGCCAAACCAAGCACGTTTATATAAAATTTCATTAAAAAGTAGATATTGAAATTTATTTTAAGAAGCTTAAAGAAGCTTGTCAAAGAAATCATCTGGCAAATGAAAGTTATTTCTACTCAGAGTGGATCTAATAAAACCATAAGCTACTCTGGGGCAGCTCTGCTTAGTGCCTGACCCACGCTTCCTCAAGAGTGCTGAACTGTCTTGTAGGAAGCCATCTACAATATTATCTTTGTAACATGACGGGAGCAGCAATCGTGATCACTGAGGTTAATAACATGGCCTCTGGAGCAGGTAGTCTGGAATTGTTACCTCTCCATCACATCACTCAGATGGGGCACGAATGATGGCGTTGACGGCCATCTAAGTTTCTGGGACTCGGAGGATGAGAGAGAACAATATATATATCTCACTGTCTAGAGGAAGTTACAGAATTTCAGTTGTTTGATAAATGCTTAAGTACTTAATGCAATAAAATCCTTCCTTATTAGATGCTACCCACACCCATGGTGGAAATAATTTTCTGCCTGAAGATTAATAGAAAGATGCAGGCCTCCTTTTCAGGGCAGGAACACAAAAGTGTGCTCTATCACCTCCCTGTACCATATGAGAGGAAGCACAGAGGCTCAGAAAAGCCCTTCCTTCCACCCTCCATGCAAATTTTCCCCTGTTGCTTGAGAGAACAGACTCACCTCATTGTCCTGATGATTTATCTCACTGAGGTTTGACTGTTGCAACAGGACTGTTAGGAGCCTGTAAGGAAAAATAGGAGAAGCAGTTTAAAAGAACAGACGGTCGTGCTTGTAGAATCGGTAACAAGAACATGGAATTAGAAATATAATCAGTTTCAGGCCAGCCCTGAGGCCTAGTGGTTAAGGGAGCTAGATCCCACTGCAGTTCAACTCTTGGCCTTAGTGGTTTGAAACACACAGGGAGCAGGTGGCACACACCCCAACACATAATTGCCAGAGACAGGAAGTTTGCCGCATTGAGAAAAATAGGCCACGTCTATGTTTGCATGTGCCCCAAATCCTTACAGGATGGAGACATGGAGAAGAGATTGACCATAACTCAATGGGGATGGTTTCTCCCTCTTCCTCTCCCTTTCTCTCTCTGGCAAGCTCGCATGCCCTCTTGCAAAAAAAGAATTAAAAAAAAATTGTTATGAGGCTCACTGACTCACTGGAGAGACAGAGAGGGAGACGGGAAATGAGAGTGTTGCAAACCCCTTTTCTTTCATTCTCCTCTTGGAGTTTTGGGTATGCACATGTACCTGGTGTGTAATAAACAAAAAAATTTTTTTAAAAATAAATAAATTAGTGGGAAACTTTCAAATGAATATGAGAATCTTTTCCATTTTTTCTGGAGAAAAGGCACATGGAAAAGAAGCCAGTGTTTCAGGTAAGAAGGTGCCTATGAGGAATACCTGTCTTCTGCTCCTACGTTCTCTCCATCTTAGTGCTCCTGGAAGAGCCAAAGGAAAAGAGAAAGGAAATCCTAAGGCTCATCTTTTTTTAAAGAATTATTTTATTTATTTATTTATTTATTTATTTATTTATTTATTTATTTAAATTTGATCAGAGAGGAACAGAGTGAATGAGAGAGAGAGAGAGAGAGAGAGAGAGAGAGAGGGAGAGTGAGAAAGCAAGAGAGAGAAAGAGGGAAAGTGAGAAAGCAAGCCAGCAGGTCTGGGACTTGAACCACATTCAGCCATTTGGGAGTCTAGCGCCCCTAACCACCATACCTCCTGCCTGCCTCCTAAGGCTCATCTTACTCACCAGTCCTGTGTCACCCATACATGCATGTTAAGAATCAAAATCATCAAAGGCTTATCCTATTCATTTTACATAAATTTATAGAGTGCTTTCCAATTACTACTTTTAGGTACACATCATGGTTTTTTTTTTTTTTTTTTTTGAGAGGTTTTCGCTTTAGGACACATGCGCTTACCAGACAGACAGAGAGAGACATAGAGACAGAAAGCGAGAAATCACTCCCCAGGGGGGATGGTCACGCCGCAATCCCTTCTCCATTCTCCTCTCGGGATCTTGGGCATGCACGCACACGCACCTGGCGTGAGTTTTAAGCCACCAGGTCCGGGATGCGAACCGTGGTCAACTACGTGGGAGTCCAGCAACATAGCCATTACACTAACTGCTGGTTCCCACACATGTCATGGCTTTTAAATGCACGGATTATACTAGGAAGTATTCAGCATTTGTAAGTATTCATCATTTTTTGTAAAATATACAAATATCTAAGCACGAGATGACAGTAATCAGTGTGAAACAACTCTGAGTGATTCTCAAGATCAAACTTTTTTTTTTTTAAGAAAATGATGTACATTTTATTTGTTGGAGGGCACGTGGGCTTATTAGAGACATATGGTTGAACAATTACCATATGACCCAGTAACTTGTGGGTACATACCCGTTACAAACAATGCTGCATTTGCTATTCTCCTTCATTTGCTATCCATAATCTATTGATAATGTGCAATATTCTCCACAATCAGCTTATCTAGAATTTTCAGAAACTTCATCTGACTTCACATCAGCACTCAGATCACTCAACTTTAACATTACATAATGAATAATGGTATTTTTAATTTTTACTTTTTTAATTTGCCAGAGGGTGCATGTGCTTGCCAGAGACATGGAAAGCAAGGAGTCCTCCCCACCACACCATGGGGCATGGTCACTCCACAATCCCTTCATTTCTCACTCAAGATCAAACTAAGATTGACTAAGATCAAAACTCCATCTGTGAGAGAGAGGCAGTTGAGCATAGACAGTGGTTAGGGGCCCAGGCTCTGGAGCCAGCCTGCTGGCTGCCACTGATGAACTGGGACCTCAGGCAAGTTACTTACCCTCGGTGCCTAAGCTTTCTCCTTATCTGTGAGATGGAGGGAATCAAAAGTACCCATTTAATAGCTCAGTCTAAAGATTACATAAATTCATATGCATAAAGCATTTAGAGCATGCCTGAAACACAATAAATGCTATTTTTAGAACACCTAATATAGAAGTTTGAGCCCTGGCTCCATCTCAGATTGCCTGGAAAGATTTTCTGAAACAACAAATACCTGGACTCTGTACTTGGGTTTTCTAACTCAGTAGGTCTGGGGAAAAGCCTCTTTTTTTCTTTTTTTTAAAAGAATTTTGTTTTTATTTAACTTTGTTTATTTATTTTAATTTGACCAGAGAGTGACAGAGTGAGAGAGAGGGGATGGAAGGAGTGAGAAAGCAAACCCTGGTCAGCCATGTGAGAGTCTAGCACTCTTAACCACCACGCCACCTGCCGGCCCCAGAAAAGCCTTGTTTTCACAGTGTAAGAAAGTTGGCTCAAATTCTGGTAAATAGCCAGGTTTGGAAACTAAGGAGAATTGTGCTGTATAAATTAATCAATGACTACTCATCAGGATGATAAAGAATGGTGTCTCCCATCCAAGTACTAAGCAGTACTAACCCTACCCTACTTAACTTCTGAGATCAGATGAGATTGGAAGCCTTCAGGGTGAAATGTCTGTAGAAAATAAAGAAAATAAAGAATAATGTATGGGCAGACAATGAAGGAAATTCAGAAATTAGTTTTGGAAGAATTACTTAAAGAATAAAATTGTTTAGTTTCTTCTCCAATCAAATGTTCATTGTTTCTCTGTTTAGTTGACTCCCTAAAGCCCTAAGTACTAAATTGTCACTTACAATAAAGAAAAAGAAAGATGGACTAATCATATTGTCTTAGAAGTAAATGAGACACAGTGAGAAATAGGGGCAAAATAAATATGAAACTAGAAATGGAAAATTACTGACGATAACATGTATGATTAATCCACTATGCAGTACATTCTGGATGGGAAATCACATTTTAAATGCTGTGACAGTGCTCAGTGAATGAATGTAAATTAATTAATTAAAAGCATAAATAAAGAAAAAAGAAAAAAAATAAGATAATGTAATAGGTGGCCCTTGGTAAAAATAAAAATTGAGCCAGCCCATGGCATGGATATTAAGGTAGCTGTATTACACGTGGCCAACTGTGTGATTTGAATTCCAGACCCAGCAACTTGAAAAGACACCAGGCAAATGTGTGTGCATGTCCAAACTCTGGAAAGGAGGGAGAGATGGAGGAGAAGGGCTTGTGGTGTGACCACCCCCCTCCCTCATCCCTGCCAGGGTGCTTTCTCTCTCTCTGTCTATGGTGGGGAGGCATGCCCTTCTGGAAAATTAAAACAAACAAACAAACAACTCTATGAAGTTATCTATATACTGCCAATGTTCCAATTTTTTGAATGCAAACAGAATAAAAATTTTCTGAAAAATTAATAAAAAAGTAAATGAGACACAAAGTAAATGAGACACAAAGAGATCTTAAGCAGGGATGACCTTCTGGTTATTTTCTGTGGAAATGAAAAAATTTAGAAAGCCTATGGTTGGTGCAGAAGTGGGGTTGTGGGGTTGAGTCAGTGAGGAAGCGCCTGGTGTCCTCAGTGTCTGCCAGCGTCTGTCCTCAGTGTCCTCAGCATCCCCGCATCATGGGGACGGCGGGCTGAGTGCGAACAGGCTGGCTCCGGGTGGCGGAGTGACAGATTGAACTTCAAGTGTGGGAAGAAACACACCATCCATCAGATGACTAGAAATCACCACAGGACCACAAGAAATGTGGGAAAGCAAGAAAATACCTCTCCTCCAAGGGAAATGAAAAACTTCTCTTCATCCATAGACAGTTCAATGGAAATCATGGAAATGTCTGATAAAGAATTTAGAACATTCATAATGGTGAAGCTAACAGAGATGGAAGAGAAGACAGACAATGAACTACAGAAGAGAAAGGAGAAAGGAGCTGCCGAGTTTCAGGAGGTGAGGAAATTCTTGCAAGATCTGAAAGAGGAATTTCACATTTTACAAAAGAATCAAGTGGAACTGTTAGAGATGAAGGCTATAATACAGGAAGTCAAAATCTCCCTTGAAAGTATTAAAAGCAGACTTGATCAGACAGAAAATAGAATCTCAAACATAGAAAAGAAAATTGCTGGCCTAGAAAAATCCACCACGAAGACTGAGAAAATTGCCCAAAAATTTGAGAATAATATACGAGAAGTACTAGATACCATCAAACGTCCAAACATCCGGATAATTGGCATTCCAGAGGGTGAAGAGACTCATAAGGGCATTGATAATCTATTCCATGAAATCCTGCAAGAAAACTTTCCAAACCTAGAGAGGCACTCAAAGATCTAGTCCCAAGAAATACAAGGGACCCCAAATAGAATCAACCCAAGAAGATCTTCTCCAAGACACATTATAGAGAATGAGAAAATATATTCAAAGTGTTAAGGGAAAAGCAATTTCAACCGAGAATACTGTACCCAGCAAGATTATCCTTCATGTGGGAAGAAAAGACAAGAACATTCTCAGATAAACAAAACTTGAAAGAATTTACTAGCACCAGACCAGATCTCCAAGAAGTTCTCAAGGGAGTGCTACGTCAGGAAAATTAAATGTAGACACACAGAAATAAGAGTTCAAAAACTAAGAAAATGGCCAACTTAATCGTAGGGACAAGTCTGGAGTTGAATATTGTATCCCAGAATTCAATCTGGAAGATTGAACCACAACAGAAGATAGATTAAGTACATGAGACTGAATTGGTGAAATAGCATTCTGTGACTTTTGAGTAAAACCTTGCTGATTTTCTTCTAGGCTTTGTTTTCCAGTTTTAAGGATTTATTTTTGTCCTGTCTTGAGCTGCTG